TAACAGCCAGCCTCAGAACTTAGATTACACAAATCATCAGCATGTTTGCATAGTGCTTTTATTTCTGGGTTTCTCTTGATGGCTCCTCCTGCATAATTATTGCTCTGTATGCTTTGGAAAATTTCTTTGTACATTTAGTACTAGGCTATTTCTCATTTTTATTTTCCTGCTTTTTTACCTTCTTATTCCAAAGTCATCGTGTGACTGTTTTATGGTAAAGATTTGTGTGCAGCCTAAATCAATTGCTAAACATCAAGGAGTCCTGTGCATATGTAATAAAGATGTGTTGCAGTGGGGGTGGGAGGTAACTACAATCATGGTTGGAATTTTCAAATCTGTTAAGAGTAAACTCTGCATAAATAGAATAAGAATGTGATCTCTATGCATGTTTTATCAGGTGGGGGATGACTTGTGTGACAGACAGAAACATCTGACTCCTCTGTGAAAAAAAGAAAAGCATTTAAGAAGTGCTTGCAGATGGTAACAGGTTTCCTAATGCATTGATCATTTTCTGGCTGTTCTCATTCCCACCTTTGTACTCTGCTATATACTTGGGGTGGGGTCGAAGCCTTTGCAGACTATTTTTCCTAGAATCCCTTACCAGCTGGTTCTGCCAATGGGAAGCACTGGTTGAAGTGGAAGGGAGAAGAGGAGAAGAGATCCTCTTCCTGCCTTCAGCTTCTTTCAGCTTCCTTCTAGCAGTAGTGAGCAGCTAATGGATCAGGGTTTTCTGGCGGTTCCATCACCTCTGGGGTGGACCAGCACCCAATACCCTTTTGTGGTCCTAGAATCATGCAGTCTCCATGCAACCTTGTCCAAGATTCAAGCCCCTCCTTTTCAGTCCCACGCTCCATGAACACTGCATTCTCTATTTTCTTCTCCCAGCCTGGGAGGTGATAACTGCTAATCCCTGAGTTCCTCCACCGCCTCTGCTTTGCTTTCTCAGCTCTCCCTTATGCAGCCAGTTGCCTGTTAAATTCCCTCATTGAATATGTGAAATGGTTTTGTTTTCCTGGCTAGTACACCAAATAAATATCTTAAATGTATTTATGTTAGACCTTCAAACCTTTTGGGAAAATAACATTGAAAATGGATGAAGTGATTTTTTTTTTCTTTTTGAGAATTCATTAAGAAATATTCTTTAAATAGCTTTGGGCCAAATTTCGAGAGCATTTTAAGAAGCAAAATCCTCACCATTGAAAACCAAACAATTGTGATTATTTAACGTTGATTTTTAAAAATTTGTAACCCTAGTTGCGCCTTACATTTCCTTTTAAAAACTTAGATTTAGAACCCTTTGCCAACAGCTTCCTCACAGTGAATAGTAATTAAACCATCTTTCCTGGTTGTCTTAGCAGTTTGGGTTTCGTTCCTATTTTTATTTGGCCATGACTGATAGAGCTGATGGAAGGAAGTATGATGTATGTAGCCAACCCTCAAAGACCCTATCATGAATATACTTGTGAGATAAATTTTGCAGAAGTCTTGCCCACTTCTTGACTTGGGTGACTCCTGCCAGTTCCTTTTGTACTTCTATCGTCTCTAGAAAACTCTTCTTGATATCTCCTCCCCAAAGAATGTGTTGTGGGATTGGATCCTGAGGATACAGATTCTGAGATTAAGCTGTATACATAAAGGGGTTTTATTGGAGGAAGTTCTCTTAGGAACACCTGCAAAGCAATGAGGAAAACCAACAGGGCAGAGAAAGAAGTTGAATTGCAGCACAGTTGCAAAAGCAGTCTCCACTAACCCCTGGGGCTATGAAACTGAGATGGCACTTCAGAGAGATCCCACATCAGCAGCCAAATGTGGGCTGCTCCCAGGGAGGATGCATAAACTTAGGTGAGATAGCTTCCTGCGGTAGAGCACAGAGAAACACAGCTGTCAGCTATCAGCAAGCACCACTTCTAGCAGCTGCAGCAAGAATACCTCTCTGCTGAAGGGGGACTATGGTGATACACCATGGTATCTACTGTGATTGATCCAGTAAAAGTCCTCAGCGACCTAAGATCCTTACTTTTAAGTGCACATCACAGTGCACTGCGATAGTGTATTTACATCAGCCTGAGACTGTGGGCTCCAGCATCCAGTAAGGTAGGCACTTGATAAATGTTAAATTTAGTGGAGAAAAAGTGTTTACTTATTTCTCCTGGCAATCGCAGTAGGTATAGAATTTAACGTATCATGCTGTTCTCTGAAACTGGGGTTAAAACAATCTTGTTTGCAGTCCCATTCTGGAAAAGCTATGTGACTTGGGCTCTGGAGTGAAAACTCTGAAGGATGCATGTTGGGGCAAAGTGAAAAGCCTCAGAGTATGCCAGATGAACTGATCACAAACAGGAATAGAGAAACACATGTTGAGAATGACACTGCCCAGGAACACCGAGCAGTCATGGCCAAATGCTCTCCAGGCATTGTTTTCCCTCCAGCCATTCTGTAGTCATCAGTCATCAGTGACTCAGACACTGGCATTCAGTGCAAACTTCTGTTTAGCTGCTGTTTCCAGGAGTCCCCCAAAGTCAATAGGCCATTGGCTTATCACCAGAGTCAGGCAAGGAAAAGAGTGGGAAGGCGGCAACATCAACAGGAAATAAAACATTTTTATTGAATATCTGTGTAATATGTTATTTTTAACAACAATCAGAAAACTACTGTGGAATTCACTACACAAAGTGAAACAAAATTTAAACCACCTCATCAAAAATGAAGGTAAAATACAGCTGAAGTAGTTGGCTCGCGGGCCACGAGCCATATGGCAGAAGAAAACACCCCAACATTTCTACACTCAAGCAGGCAGTAAATATACACAAAGGCAACTAGGATCTTTCTAGAGTATCGGATTCTAATACTTTACACAGCTTTGTCAGAAAGGTACATGTGGCTTATTTGAGGATGAATCTTGGTCATAAAGCAGGTTCCATCACTGACTTGTGAAAGATGGCATAGTACCAACTAATTCTATGGTGACAATCCCATGTCTGGCAGTGTTGCAAGAGAATACATTAGCAGTACTTTAATGCAAGAAATAATATCTGCTCAGCAGCTTGAACCTGCTTGTTTTAAGGTGTTGTTTCATTGTGAACAACTTAAAGCTGAAGACAGTGAAATTAAATGTCATTTCTGATATTTAAATAATTTTTAAAAGCCAATCAACTCCCTCTCTTTGGAAGGGTTTGTTCCTTTAAATTGAAAAGAGTCTTGTTTGAAGTTTCTGTTCAAGCCATTATTTAATCTCACAATCTGACTTGTGTATATTTTCTATTACCTATGTTTTTTAGATGCATGGACCTTTAGCAGAAGGAGATGGTATTTTTCTTTTGTCTTTTGTGTCTGTCCCAATTATAAAGTGTTTACTATGTCTGGGCTAAAAGGCAAAAGCATTTGCCCCTTCTTTGATAAGGAAACAGTAATGACAGGAATTTCAGATTTTCTGGAAAACAGCCAGCCCCATGTTCAAAGCCTACCATCAGCCCTTTTTGAATTCTCTTTAGTCTTTGAAAAGACATGGTGTGATATCCTGAAGTCTGAACGTGAGGTCAATGCTTAGTTTTCCTCCATTTTGTTTTGGTATTTGTGAAGATAAACTTTCATTTCAGAGGATCACTACTGTCTGTAGCCCGGAAATTAAAATGGGTCACAGAAGTGAGTGGGAGAAAAGTGAGTAGATGCAATGTGACATAACAGGCTGCCCTTCCACAAAGTGGTTGTCTACCATAGTGGGGAAAAATATGGAATATTGCACAGTGCTTGACAAAATGCTGTGTTCCACCCCATTCTATATATCTTCCTTGTCCTATGCATAGCTTTTCAGTTCTGAATTGGTCCTTTGTAATGAGAACTGTTTGTGCTACACACACCTTGGGCAGTGCAGTAGAAGGGAATGGCAGTATTGTTACAATATCACTACGGAATAAATTGAGTGCTATCCACTGAGGAAACTACGTGTCTAAGCACACACGGCAGTCACAGTGTTACACAGAGCAGTCCTTTAAGACTCTTATGGAATGACTAGTAGCTTCATAATAGTGCCATTTACTACATAATAACATTGAAAACATTTAAAAACTCCTCCTAAATCAAGCATCTAGTATACATAAGAGGTTGCTTCAGTTTTCCAGAACTTGTTCTTGGTTTGTTTCACCTTTTTTTAAAGGACAAATTGAAACTTAAAAGTAAAAAGAGTATATAAAAAGATCACTAGCTGTCTGTTTTGGCTTAATTGAAGTGCATTCAGAACTATGGCTAATTGTTGTTGGTTTTTTTTTTTTTTTTTCTTTTTGTGGGATCACAATACTGTCTGTTTACCACAAAGTAATTTTGTGTAATAAGCACAGATTGCTGTGTTAAAAATATTCTGCATTCCTTCTCATCTGGTTTTATATAATAAAATATTTTGTTACAAATTCTAATGTGCAACCCTTTTGGAATTATTCTAAGTGTGAAATCTGGAACAGAATTCACAGGATGCACATTTTATATAAAGGTGATAACGGAGAGCTACTTTTTTCTTTTTAAGTAGTCAGGCAATATTTCATAAATGTTGACTTCTCCCCTCAGCATCTTCTCTCCCTATCCCCAAACAAATGTGCGCACACCACACTCACACACACACACACACACACACACACACACACACACGGAACACCTTGTAATATGAAATCATTGACTCCTGTTCAGTTGCTTTCTCAAATGTAAGAGTGAAGCCATTATTTTAGCTTTGTAAATATATACAGACAGATGCTATTCTGGTTTGTGGCTATGCTTCCTTGAGGTCAGCCTGGATGCTGCTACTTAGATCATTCTATTTTGCCTGTGCAGGATTTTAAAAAAATTGGATTCTCCTACCAAGTATGTGGTGTAAGTTTATCTTGGAAAGCTCAGGTTTAAGTTGTCCTTTAAGATATCAGTTTAACTGTACTAGTGCCTTACGAGTTGATAGTTTTGCTGGAATGCAGACGATACTATATTTACCATATAATATATTATCAGCTCTCCTATATCTCAGTCAATTTACATAGTTTAAAATAGAACATCTTATTAAAAACATCTAGATATACACAGATTAGGAAACGCTTACAACATACAAATACACAAACTAGAAATAAATCTTTAGCATACTGGTATATACAACGGTGTGATACAATAAATAATTTCAGTCATGCTCTATCTACACATCATATTGCTTAAAAGAAGAGTAGATTTGGAGGGCAGTGGTATGATGAAGGACTTAGGGGCTCTCTACATTTAAATTTGTGCAAATTAAAACAGGATTTGAAGTACCACTGAATTGTGTTAGGAATGCATGGCTGGAGAAATGAAAGGACCCATATTACTGAGGTATTTACAGATACTGGCTAAAGAGCACTATATGGGCAAATGCAGAAAGGCTTCTTCTTTCCTTTACTTCTTGACGGCCAGCATGGCATCAACTTCCTCCTCTACCTGCAGGGTGTGCCACTGGGCAATAGGTCGCCTGGGGTTGGCCAGCATGTCTGACCAGTGTCGCAGCTCCGCGCCGGTGCTGTTGTAGCCCACAAAGACTTTGCCGATGGCATCGTTCTTGCCAATCTTGTCATAGTCCAAAACAGTTACCACCACCTGCACTTTCTGAAGGGAGACACAAAATGAATATGAATTATCTAGCTCTAGGGATAAGACCCAACTAGAAAGCTTCCTTGAGATCTAAGGAATTGGAAATAAAAGAATCAATCTCCAGCCACTAGGATGAGGATGAAAATGGCTTGAATGTAAAAGCTTGAGTCTAATCTTTCTTATTCCATTACTATATCATCATTGTCACCACCATCATCTTCATATTCAAACATTATTTTTTATTATATTTGCACTAAGTCTTTTACCTGAATGAACTGTTACTTCTCATAACAGATCCTATTAATATTGCCATTATACAGATAAAGATGGGTGAAGCTCTGAGAAGTTATATAACCTGCCTGAGGTTGTTTAAGGAATGAGCTGTTTGGTTTTCAGAGCCTATCCTGTAAACCTCTATGCCATGGAGTCTGTGTCAACTTGTGCTAACCTCTAAATTCATTTGCTTCAATAGCCTCATCAGTGAAAGCTCTGGCATTGGTGTTCAGGCCACTCTATTTGATTATAATTCCCATGGCGATATTTCTAGCAAACTGTTTTCAATGGTGGTGCTATGGTTAGGCGTGCCTCCTAAAGTTCATGTTTTGGAAGCTGAAGACTCAAGGAATAGTGATGAGAGGTGGTATCTTTTTTTTCTTTTTTTTTAAAGAAATCTTTTATTTTAGGTTCAGGGGTATATGTGAAAGTTTTTTACATAGGTGAACTTGTGTTACGGGCTTTGTTTTACAGATTATTTCATCACCCAGGTATTAAGTTCAATACTCAATAGTTATCTTTTCTGCTCCTCTCCTTCCTCCCACCTACAATATCATGTAGATCCCAGTGTCTGTTGTTCCCTTCTTTATGCTCATGAATTGTCATCATTTAGCTCCCACTTATAAATGAGAACATGTGGTAAAAAATAAATAAATAAATAATAATAATAATAATTCCCATGGCAACCATGTGCAATAATCTCATTTCAAGGGGGTGACAGCATGTTACAAAAAATTAATATCGAATTTCAAATAATCATGATTGTGAGCATAAAATGTGACAATACAGTGAAAGTCTTTAAAAAATAGTAATAAAGATATTTTTTTCTCATCCATGCATTCTCTCAGTAAACATTTACTGAGTAACTACTATGTATCTGGCATTGATATAAATGGAAATATCCTTTTAGGCTATACAGGATTTACTTCAGTGATTCCATCAGATTTTGAAAATTTGATAACTTCCTTTTCTGAATGATTGAACTGATGAAAGCAAATCTATACCATCATGTTATGAAAGATACACTTTTTAAAAGCATATTTCAGTTCTATTTCCTGAGTAACGAATTTACTTAGCAGACTATGTGATGATTTCAATCTAGCAACTGAGTGTAAAGATAAGAGTTTAAAATAAATGGAATATGCAAAGTTTATGGCCAGAGTTAAAGTAGCAGAAAAATATAAAAGCTAGGGCCAGATGAAGACACGGCCGAGTTATAGCCCTTTAGTGGACTTTATATGCTGAGACTGAATTATTATATTAATGAAATGAGAAATGTCATTCATATACAGCTTCAGAACAGAGAAAACAATCCCTTCTGAAAGTGGAATTTAGAATGTAAAATGCAACACAATGGCAATACAAGGACAATCTTCCCTTGTAGTGATTCCATTGTTAAAGGAATTAACTATCCAATGGGTAGTTTCTGGAATCAAGAAGAGGGATATATTGATTCTAAGAACTTGTCCTAAGCAAATTTATCAGGAAACAATCATTATAAATGTATCAGGGATACAGTATACAAAAAGGTAACAGAAGTTTTTAAAGTTTGATTCTTTCACTTAAGAATGCATTAATTAGTAGCACTCAAAACAAAATATCCTTGTGAAGCCTTTGGATTAATGTTTCCAGTTGCATATGTAGTTTATTTCTATATTTGGGGAGGAGGGGTTACATTTTCATGTGCATTTGGAAATTAGCATATTTTGCTTCTTTCATAATACATTTTATAGGGATCGAGAAAGACAGAGGACAGGCATATTGTTTTATTACTTCAGGATAAGGGAAACGTAAACCCCTATTTTAGCATGTAAAATACTTATATTTTCTAGAAAAAGGCGAAGACTATAAAAGTTGCCTCCTATTAAAAAAAAAAGGAAAAGAAAAATAATAAACTGACTCAAGGAGCAGAGAAAGAGGGATACAGACAAAGGAATGCTCATTATTTCCATGTCTAATGTATTCTATATTGGGCTCAGTTTCTGTCTGTTCTGACAAAATGTTATTGCCTCTAAAATGATGGCCAGAAACCTAACATGTGTCTTATTTTTTAATGTTTTTCACTTTCAATATATTTGCCTTTTCTGCAGCTTGTAGTTGAAAGGATTATTTATTTTAAAGTCATAGAATTGTAGCTCAATGGGAGTTTTCATCTCGATGCCTTGCTTTATATTATTTTGTGGAATTAAAAAAAAAATGCCAGGAGGTGTTAGTTTCCATAGGAATAAGGTCTTAGAACTCAAAAGAGTTCACTGAAGAAATATTACAAAATAAATTGTTGGAAAAAATTGATGTCTTAAAGGTTTGCAAGGGGGTCCAAAGTAGGGGGCCCACCGGTTCAGGCTAGTGAACAAATTATTGGGAGCAGGGAACCAGTGTCCTCTGCATTTACTTATACAATAGAGGTTAAAGTAAGTAAGTATGTATAATATGCCACCATGTGAAAATTTATATGATAAACATTGTATTTAAAACTATCAACCAATATGAAGATGGTGGAGTTATTGGTTATTCTGGATCATTTAAGACTGCCCTATATTACACAGTAGCTACTAGCCACATCTAGCTGTTTTAATTTCAATTTAAATACATGGAAGTTACATAATGTTCCTTGGTCACATTAGTGACTGAGGTACTCATTTGCCACCTGTGGCTACCATATTATTGGACAGTATGGACGACGGAGTATTTCAATCATCACAAAGTTCTATTGGACAGCACTAATTTATATATTGATTTAAACTTATTGTTAGATCCATTTTCTAATAACATGTTAACTTGAAAAAGAGAGGACATTAGCATGTGAATAATAGTAATAATAATGATGATGATAATAGGATCATTTACTGTGTATTCCTATGTATTGGGCACTGTCTCAAGTGCTTTTATATGCATAATCTCACTTTGACAAGGATTCTGTTATCATTCCTATTTTATATGTATATGTATTCCTATTAAAGAAATTCTAAGCCTGTTTGTTTTACATATAAAATTGAAATAATAACAATGGTACTTTTCTCATAAAGTTCTTCTAAGGATTAAATGAGATTATGTAAATAAAGTGGTTAACTTGGACCTAGGCACATTATATATACATATATATATGTATATGTATGTTTTGGATTAATGTTTCCATAAAGAAAGCTAATATAATAGCTATACTTATTTTATATATGTATATATTATATAGCTAAAGTTATATATAGAAAATATATCTTTTATATACAAAATGTATGTGTGTGTACATATATACACACAGGCATATATATTTTATATATGTAACATAAGTGTAGATATTATATTAGCTTTCTTCATGGAATAAAGCTGTGATTAATTCATAAGATACTGTCTTCCAAGAATAGATTAAAGGTAAATGAACACACAATTGGGCATATTCAGAGTGGTATTGCACTATTCACAACAGCCAAGATATGGAATTAACCTAGGTGTCCAACAACAGATGAATGGATAAATAAAATGTGGTACATATACACAATGGAATACTATTCAGCCATAAAAAAAGTATGAATCCTGTCATTTGTGGCAGTGGATGGAACTGGCAGGTATTATGTTAAGTGACATAAGCCAGGAACAGAAAATTAAATACTGTATGTTCTTACTCATGTGGAAGCTAACTATAAGTTGATATCGTAGAAGTAAAAGGTAGAACAAAGGATACTAAAGACTGGGAAAGGGAAGATGGAGATTTGTTTAAGGATACAAAATCACTGCTACATAGGAGAAATGAGTTCTAGAGTTCTGTACCATTATAGGATGGCCATAGTAACAATAACATATGATATAATTTCAAATGGCTACAAGTAGGATATTGAATGTTTCCAAGACAAACAAATGATAAATACTTGAGATGATAAATATGCTAATTACTCTTATTTGATAATACATTATATATATGAAAACATTACTATGCGCCCCGTGAATATGTACAACTATTATTTGGTAAATAAAATAAATAGAGAATATTTGTTATTCTGGACCTTTAGAAGGCCCTTTGTTGTAGGTTTGATGTCTGCTCTCCATTTCTCCTTCAAGTTATGAGCAAACTTTTATATCACTGAAAATATACACCTGTGCCAATTATTTAATAAAATGTAAAAAGAATGTTGCTTTATGCAGTTTGACTCTCTGATGCCCATTCAAGATTTGCAAGAAATGGCCCAAAATTATTGGATATAAACTTTGGATTCTTATAGGCTAACTATGGAGATGGGATGAGAAAATGTAAATATTTAAAAAAAAACCCTAAATGATAAGGTTGCATGTTATCACTGTGGCTGCACATAGCAATTTAATTTGAATATGTTAACCACAAGGACATTTAATAGAATACTTCCCATCATAAATATTGTCTGGCAAATTGAGGCTCCACTTTTACTAAAATAGCCATCCACTCCAATTCAGACACATGAAGCTGAATTTAAATAATTAAAAATGCAACTTGGCCCAATTTTTCTATTGTTAATCATCTTTTAATAAAGACTCAATATGCTGCATATTTAACATCAGCCAAAAATATTTCTCTTATCACTATTTTTTGCTCTGATGAGGAGACTGACTTATGGCCTAAGAGTAGATAGTGAAAGCTCATTTTTCTCTTGGCTTTTTAACTTTTGTAGATGCACTTTTGAGTTAGCAGAGTTGTTGTGTTGATTTTCTTTTTCCGACTTTATTTCTGCTCAATACAGTGCCAGCTGTTTTTGGCTGATGAGTCAGCACGTCCTGTGCTGTATATTTTATCCTATCCCTCTTGATGTAGGTCAGCCATCAAATGTGCACGGGAGAAAGAACGGCAGTTCTAATGAAGGCATGTGCACTGATAACTTACAAGACCTGTGTGTATAATTTATGTGGTCTGAAGGAATGAAATTGAGTGGGAAGACAAATTATGTTTGACATTACCTGGATTTGTTCAAAAGGTACTTCAAAGCTGAATGACTCATTGTAGTAGGGGTTAAGTGTGTTCTTTTTAATTGTTGTCTTTTTCTTCTTCAGCCTCTTGCCATTCTGCATCAGATGAATCTTCACATAAGGATCTGAATGAAAAACAGGAAACAAAAACTTTAGGAGATCAGAGACACATATTTTATATTATAATTTAGCTTATAAAAGAATTATTTCTCACAGGTAAATAATTATATAGCATGTATTTAGTATTTTTTAAATTCAATAATTTGTTATTGAAATAGTTTAAGGTACCTGTGGGGCATGCTTTTTGCCGTGACAGCTCAATATTTATAGTTTGATTTAGAAGATGAGAGTAGTGGTATGCTGGTAAACCAGCTCTTTGGGGGAAAAAAAGTATTAACATGTAGCATTTCCCTATGTCTATGGTATATATATACCCAACCAAGGCCAATGTCAAGCCACTAAGCTTAACAATTGGTCTAAAAAATTAACAGTTCGCTCTTGTGAGCTGGCAAAGGGCTTGCCTATAGCACAAGACTGTATGAGAATAAAACTCTTAACAGAGAGAGAACAAAGGAGCCATTTCATTTATTCATTTATTCATTTAATCAATATTAGTTGAGTGCCTATGATGTGATAGGCACAGTTAGGCCCTAGGAATATAGCTGCAACACAATAGACTATCCCTGTCTTCGAAGTGAAACTTCAGTCTGTGGGGGAAATAAACTAAGTTTGTATAGAAACAAAAGACATGAAATTACAAGTTGACAAGAGTGCACTGTAAGAAAAAAGCAGAATAGAGATAATGTAGGAAATACCAAGGATGGTATGGTTAGTAAAGTAGGAAGGCAATTTAGGTTTTAGATTGCTCTGGTAAGGCACCTGTGGAAGTAAAATTTAAACTGAGATGTGAAGGTTGAAGAGTGAGATGAGGCCAGCTGAGCCTGAATATTTCTAGGTAGCGAAGAACTTCAAGTGTTCGAGGAAAAGAGAAGAGATCGGTACACACACCAAAGTAATGGGAAAAGGAGCAGACAGATTCCCCTGGGCAGTTTCCCTAAAGCCTCATTAGGCAAAGATCAAGTAATAAGTCACTGGAGGGTCAAGACAATTCCCTTTTACAGCTCCCATTACTAATGGATGAATGTTGTACCTTCAGGTCACTAGAAACCAATGCTCACAGTTGAAGGAAAATCTCTACTGTTTTTCTTCAACATGTTTCCATTTCATATGTAATGCATGCTCATTATAGAAAAAATATCAGAAAGCAATGATGACCGAAAAGAAAAAAAAATTTTGAATCTAGGATTTTACTTCCCCAAAATAACTACTGCTAAACCTTTCAAATTTCTTTCCTTTCTTTTCAATGTTCTTTCTCGGAACATGTAGAGCTGGGAGAAACTTTCCAGATGATCTAGTCTAATGCCCAACTATTTTTAGAAGAGAAAACTGCAGATGAGAAAAGGGTATTTTTATCTCCCTCTCCCTATCCCCAGTAGAACATAACTCCTAAGGGACAGACATTTTGTCTGTCATATTCACTATTTGAATTTGCTAAAACAGTGCCTGGCACATATTCAGTTTTTGTTGAGTAAGTGGAACTTATTTAGGGCCTCAGTCTGGGTCTTTTGACTCCCGGTCCTGTTTTTTTCCCACTCCCCTAAAGCCTACATTACCAGGATATGTGTTGTTAGGAGATTTTTAAAAAATGTTACATCCAGTTAAGGGGATCATAATTAAGATTTTCATCAAAATTAAGAACGTCTTTAAAAGCCAGGCCTAGAGGCCGGGTGTGGTGGTTCACGTCTGTAATCCCAGCACTTTGGGAGGCCGAGGCGGGTGGATCAAGAGGTCAGGACTTTGAGATCCTACTAACTAATACTACTAAAAATATAAAAATTAGCCAGGCATGGTGGTATGTGCTTGTAGTCCCAGCTACTTGGGAGGCTGAGGCAGGAGAATTGCTTGAATCCCGGAGGCAGAGGTTGCAGTGAGCCGAGATCGCACCATTGCACTCCAGCCTAGGCGACAGAGCAAGACTCCATCTCAAAACAAACAAACAAAGAAACAAACAAAAAACCTCAAAAAAATCCAGGCCTAGAGCTGAGAAACCAGCTCCATAAACTAAAGAGTTGGTCAGTTAAAAAAAACTTTACTGTAAACAGTTGTAAATGGAAGCAAAAAACGTCACTGATAATCCATGTTATTGTTCACAGCCAATGTTGATTTGGTTCAGAGACCTTGTTTGTCTTATTAAGTTCCCTAGCCCTCTCATCAAACCCCTTGTATTTTTTTGTTTTTGTTTTTGTTTTGAGGTGAAGTCTTGCTCTTTCACCCAGGCTAGGAGTGCAGCGCCGTGATCTCAGCTCACTGCAACCTCTGCCTTCTGGGCTCAAGTGATTCTCCTGCCTCAGCCTCCCGAGGAGTTGGGATTACAGGTGCCTGCCACTGTGCCCGGCTAATTTTTGTATTTTTAGTAGAGGCGGGATTTTACCATCTTGGCCAGGCTCGTCTCAAACTCCTGACCTCGGCCTCCCAAAGTGCTGGCATTACAGGTATGAGCCACTGTGCCTGGCCCCCCTTACACTTTTACAAAGATAATCATGTCTCCAGTTGTTCTCTGGCACTGATGAAATACGCATATCTACTATATATGCCTCCTGTGTTTATGTGTTGAAATTTTATCAACCTAATTGAGGCACAGGTTTTCTCAAGAGAAGCACTCTGAGTATCCATTGATTCATTTAACACAATAAGTGATAAAAATTCTTGCACATCTGCCATTTCAGTAAGCAAATTAAAAATCCAACAGGATAGTTTCAGATTTTGCTAAGAACTCTGACATGATGTTATTAATGCCTTGGGGAGAATAGGGTAATTTTAAAAAGATTGATCAAGAAAGTCCTCATTGAGACGGCAAACTTTAGCTGAGAACTGACAAACAAGAAAGAATCAGTCATTTGGCTGTATGGTGGACGCTTGTACCAGCCAGAAGGAGCAGTACCTGCAAAGGCCCTAAGTTGCCCCTCATTCTGCATGTTTGTGAAACAACAGAAGGCAAGGGGCACAGAGGTAGATGGCGAGGTCAAAGAGGTAACTAAGGACCTGCTGATTTGTTGCTTTTGTAAGCAGAAGCTGCCAGTTCTGATGATTCAGATGTATTCTACAATTTCATGATATATAAAAAAGAGAACAGAGGGTTGAGGGCCGGGCGCGGCGGCTCATGCCTATAATCCCAGAAATTTGGGAGGCCGAGGCAGGTGGATCACCTGAGGTTAG